GTGTGTGAGTGCGTGGGTGAGTGAGGGGTGGACACACACACCAGCCACACTCCCACCCTCATCTATGAGGGCACACCACACCCCACACCCCGGCACCCCGTTTCTCATGCTTTAGGTGGAGGCATCTTCGCAGCACGAACCATAGGTCCCTTGGAAGGAGAGTCTGAGGTCTTTGCCTTTTTGGCAGGCGCGTTGCATTTATACTCAGGGAGGAAAAAAAAATATATAGCACCAGGCACAAAGGGAGGAGGGGGCGGGGAAAGGAAGGAGCAGGGAGAAAGGGGAGGGGGAGGGGAGGCCGCGCGCTCAGGTGAAATTAAAATTGGAGGTCAGTTCCCGGATCCGATTCTCTCGGTTCATTTTCTTGAGTTTCATTCTGCGATTTTGAAACCAGATTTTGACTTGTCTGTCTGTAAGGTTAATGGTCTTGCTAATCTCCAGGCGGCGCTCTCGCGTCAAATACATATTGAACAGAAATTCTTTCTCCAATTCCAGCGTCTGGTGTTTAGTATAGGGGCACCGCTTCTTCCTTCCGCTCTTTGCTGTCAGCCAATTTCCTGTGGTGTTTTCTGCCTTTATCTCCTCTGTTAAAAATAACATTATTTACATAAGTATCCCTCGAAGAGGCAGACCCTCGCAGCCCGCTGCAGCCTTTGCCAGTCTGCTGTGGGGGGCGGCTGAGGGAGCAGAGGGGAGCTGTTCTCACCCCACAGGCCTGGCTGGCGGGGTGTTCTTGGGCTCTGGGCTCTTAGAATTTCTTTGGGGCTTAGACTTCCATGGGGAAAGACAGAAAGCTCTTGCCTCGGGAGCATTTATTAATTAAGTGACCCCAATCCACCTTGACCTAGCAGATTCTGAGTACTCCCACTCTCCTTCAGCTTATTGACTGACCCTGGCGGGCGTGTGCTCAACCTCACCAGGCCCTCCCTCCTCTAGGTTCCATTCCAGTTCTGGAAAAATCCAACTGGAAGGGAAAGTGCTTCCCAGGCCCCAGATGGGGTTGCAGAGTCCACCCTGCTGCCCAGAGCAATTCCCAGAGAGCTTTGACCCCTTTCAACTCAGTGGAGGGACAGAGGGACATCGCCTTAGAGTCCCTGTGGCCAGAGGCCCTTGCAGTTGTCCCTGTACCAGACCCCCAGCCCTTGTTCCCACCTGAAGTGCCACAGAACAACTCTGCCCCTTTCAATCTCCCGTTGCCAGCTCTTCCTCTCCTGGCCATTTCCCCCAGGTGTGAATAGCTGAAGCAGGGTTGCTTGTGAAGGCAGCAGAGGTCAGGAGCAACCGCTCTGGGGCATGCTGAGGGGTCCTCAGACAACTGTCCTAGCCATAGGACCTAAGGTCAAGGGAGAGAGATATCCTGAAGAAATGCAGCCTCCTGGAAGTCTCCATCTAGTCTATATAGATGTGAATGCCTGTGTGTGCACGTGTATTCCTGTAGAGGTGCGCACTCCTACACAAATGTCCACACACAGATACGTACACATGTGTCTACTGATAGAAGGAGATAATATAGATAGAGTGTGTAATTCCCATTATCTTATTGACAGCTTCTTTCCTTGGTACACATTCTTGCTGAAATGGACCAGCCTTGCTCCTCAAGCAGCATGAGAGCCCTTGGCCATCCTTTCTAGGGAAAAAACCCAGAGTCCAGAGACCCAACAAGGGCACTCAGCAAAGGTGGTTGCTGATGGCTCTGTACTCTCACCCCTCGCCCCCCGCTTTGCCAAATGGAACTGCCAGATTCCTAGATCCTCTTTTGATGGGGTGTGAGGCAGGGGCCCTTGGGGAACTGAGAGGCACCAGGAAAAAAAAAAAAGGCAAACTTAAGGCTATAGTTTAAGACATCTGAATGTCCTTACTTCTGCTCCCACCTCTGCACCTGCAGCCTCTTGACAAATTGTTTAAATGTTCTCCACATCTAACTCTGCCTTATTTATTTTCTCATTGGGATTGCTGGGTTTTGGGGAAGGGAGAAATTAAAAATGGGGAAGTCTGGCTAAAAGCCCTCTCGCCTCTGGCCTGGTGGAGACACCATATGGGGGGGAGTGGAGGCAAGAAGGGCACAGGCAAAGTGCAGACTGAGAGGGATTGGGTGGGATGGAAGGGCTTAGGTTGTTGTGAGGAGGGCAAGAGAAAAAGGGAGCCTACCGGAATGGGGGCAGTTTGAGTTAGGAGGTGGACTTGTTAACCTTGACTTTGCTTTTGGTGGGGCTAGGACGCAGCTTTTCCTATCCTAAAATTCTTTCCCAACAAAGCTCAGGATCTGGGGAGAGGGCACAAAATTAAGCTTTCCTGCAGCACATGTGTCACAGCGAAGCCTTCCTGGGTACCTCACTCTCTCCCTCAGCCTCATGAACACACTGGTGCACATCTTCTGCTGGGGTCTCTATGGGATGATTTGCCAAGGCCATCTTTGCAGAGGAGACCCAAGAGGGCAAGGCTCTGCCCTTGCCCGCCAAAACAGTGCGGGTACGCGCGCACGCGCGCGTGCTCGTGTTTGTGTGTGTGTGTGCGTGTGTGCGCGCGTGCACAAGGGGGCATGCGTGAGTGTGCGCGAAGCATGAGAGAGGCATGTGTGTGAGTGTGAGTGTGACACAGGTCGCCGCCAGGCAAGCGTGTGCACCGTATCCATATACAAAGCACCACAAGATCCAGGCCGCCCCCAGGCTGCTCAGCTCTCAGGAACTCATCTGCCTCTGCGTCCAACGAGCCCCACTTATACACAGCCTCCAGTAGTTAGTGGCAGGGGACACAGGTTTATTCCTCTCCTCCCAGTTGGGCCTTTCTGGATGATTTTTGCTCCAACTTTTCAAGGAAAGTGGGTCCCCTCAAGTTCCCTCCACTGCTCCCGTTTCCTCCACATTCTTTCTCCAGGTGTCAGAGAAAGGTCCTGGAGGACCCCAGTTCCAGCAGCAGAAATGAATCTTGAACCCTGAGCTTGAACTCTGGCTATGCTTTCTCTCTCCAGCGGAAATCACAATGAAATCCAACTAAAGCAACACTCCCTTTCAGGAGAAAACCGCTTGCCACGCACACAGAAAATTCCCAACCACTCATTTGTAAACTGTTTTTGGAAAAGAACGAAAAAATATGTTTTTAAATTTAACTAGAAAAGAAAAAGAAATTTTACAGTGGAGACAAGAAACTAACAACATTCCAAATGCCCTGTTCCAACGCCATCCCCTAGCCAGGCGTCTGGGGGAGGGAGGGACATGGAGATCAGCCCTTCACCTCCACCTCTTTCGGCCCCAGCCCCCGCTGCCCGAGGGCCCCCGGCCGAGCTCAAACCGCAGGAGCCCATACCACACACACAAATCAGACCCACAAACAATAACAAATCGCGCTTCGAAGGAAACAATTTTCAACTGGGAAAGCGCAGTAAAGCGAAATCCCCCTTCACCTAAGCCTTCCCCAGTCCCTGGCCCAAGATCGCCATTTTAAGCTTTTTGCAAGCTTCTGACCTGAACGAGGGACCTCAGCCCCCCAAGCCACCACCGTAAAGCAAGCAAACCAAAGCCAGCAAGCACGCGGGAGCCGTCATCAGCCCTGGGCAGCACAAGGCGCCCTCAGGCTGCCCGCGGTGCGCACCACTCCCGGGTCTCGGCGCCCACGGCCGCTGGCGGCCTGGCCCTTCCATTCTGCCGCTTACCTTCCTTAGCCAAATGACGCGCCACCAGCCTGGCGCTCAGTGGACACGAGTCGCAAGCCGGGATCGCATTCTCGGGACTGTCCAGGGCCTCCTCGGCCCAACCCTCCCCCTGCCCCCGCCCCGGCCACGAAGACCAAGTACCCGAGCGTCCCAGCCCGGCCGCCGCGGCCCAGGCAGCCTTACCTTTCGCTTCGTTATCCGAGGTGTCTGGGCTGGAGTCCGCGGTTTTGGCCCGCTCCTTTTCGCTCTCCAAGGGGCTGCCTTTTGGGCCCGCCAGGCTCTGCTCGGTCTTGATTTCATTGGGGCTAGGGGTCTGGCTGTCGGACTTGGGGGTCTCAGGGAAACTCACTTTGCCCCCGAGCTGGGGCGACTCCAGATGTTCGGCGCGCGGGTTGAGATTGGCCCGCTGCTCAAAGGGGGCTTCGAAGTCGTTGGCCCCGGCACAGTGGGGCGGCTTGTCCAGCGCTGAGTAGCTCGGGCTGGCGCGGTAGTAGCTGGGCACCGGCACCTCGTGCTCCCCGAGGCAGGACTCCTGCAGGGGGTGGGAGTAGAGAGCTGCCTCGGGGCCACTTTTCGCCCGCTTCTCTGCGCTGTACATACAGCAGACATTCTCCTCCTTGACACTAGGTGGGTAGGAGCAGGAGGACAGCGGCCTGCCAACAGGTTGTTCCAGGCGGTAGGTGGCTTTGGGGTCGCCCCAGGAGTCCAGCTGCGAGAGGTAGGACGGGTAGGTGTTGAGGGCGAGGTTGGGACTGCTGCCCTCGTCCCTCTTGGAGAGCGAGGGCGCGAGCCCGCAGCCCCTCATCACCCCGCAGTTGAAGTCACTCCCAGATTGCATATACATGCCTGCGCTCCGGCTATAGCGCTCTCCTCCGCCCGGCGCAGCCAAGGGCTCAGCGTACGAGTTCGGAGTTACATTGCGAGGGCATGTCATTTTCAGAGAGAGGGGTTTTTAAGGAGCAATACTACAGCGGAGGAGCTGACATCTTTTTTTTTCCCCATCCGGGAGGGGGGGCGGTTGGAGGGGCGGGAGGGAAAAGAAGGGGAGGGGGGGGAAATATCAGCTCCATAATTATCCGCGCATTCGGTCCTCACCATGTGACGGCTAGACCAATGGGATTTGAAAATGGCCTTGATGATTCAGACGGCCGTGACGTCAGCGGGGTCAAGTTGTCGGCAGGCGGAGCGCGCAGCGTGGAGTAACAGCGCCACCTAGCAGCCGCCTCGGGGTAGGGGCGCCGGAGCCCTTCCCCGCGAACAAAGGAAGCGCCCCGGGGGCGGCAGGGGCAGGAGAGGGGTGGAGGATGGTGGGTGGGGGGTTCTAGAGAGAACGGGGTTTGTTTACCCGGGAACCAGCCTGTAACTCTTGGGGAGAGTGGGGCGGAGAGGGGGGACATGCAGGAGAGAGGGAGAGAGCAAGGCAACTCGGGGCTCAAAACAGTCAAATTCAAATTAAAAGGTCAAGACACGATCCAGGTACTTTTTCCCTTGTCTTTTACCTCTTCTTTTCCTCTCTTTGTGCCCTTGCCCCGTTTCTTCCCTTGGGAGGGGTGTGGGGTGATGTTTGGAGGGAGGGCTCCAGTGGGCAGAGAAAGGGAGAAAAAGTTAAGGAATCCCAAACAGAACTAAACTTTCTGCTCTCCTGCGTCCCGGTTCTCGGGGCTTGGCCTGGGAGCTCAGTTTGGGGACCACGCTCAATGGAAGCTGGTTGAGTTATAAGTTCCCTGTGGGGGTTGATGGGGGAATCCTCAGAGTCTGGAGTGGACCAGGGAGGGGGTCATCATCACTTCAGGGCTGTTCCAGGAGGGTAAAGGAGGTTTCCAGTGGATCTAGGGGTCCGGAGAGAAGGAAGCCAGAAACCAGAGGCGCCAGCTCCCGGACCAGGGAATGCAGTCCGGGCCTGGCAGAGTGGGCGGCCCCTGGGTCACCATCTCAGGGGTTGGAAGGCTTTGGCCTTGGAGTCGGTTCGGGTGCTTTGCTCCAGGCCTCGGCGGTCCTCGCTTTCCAATTGACCTTGCCCCCACTAAAACAAGGAATATTCCCAGAGAGGAAGAGGGAACCTGCAGGGCCTCGGATGGTTTGTGGGAGTCACGTATCACACGGGAAACTAGGACACAGATGCGACAAAATTCGACCCAGAGAAGTGTCCTTTACAGAGCGAATGAGCTGGGGGGCATTTTTTAACGGAAAAGAGGAACCAGCATCTTTGTGTGGTTTTTATTTTTTTAATAAAGGAAAACGAGAAATAAGGGACAAGGTATGTTTTAAATAGTTCTTTCCGTTTCTCCATCGCCTTTCTCCCAAAGCGAACTAAACTCTCCACCCCTTCCTCAGGAAACGGAATCTGGAAAATAACTTGTCTTTCCGGTCGCCCCACATTTTCCCCTGGATGAAGCCTCGGGTTTCGATTTTCCAAAGGGCTGAAGCCTGGCCGGGAAAGGACGGGTGCTGCGGGCGCCCTGGCGTGGAAGAGCGCGGAGGCTGGATCGCTTCTAGAGAGGCCCCAGCCCGCGGCTGCTAGAAAAGGACTTCAGAAAGAAATCCAAGGAAGTCCCTCAGCCAGGGGGCGAGAGAGGAGACCACAGGGGTCCATGGACCCCGGGAACACTGGCAGAAAATGTGTAATCTGTGACTCGCTTGCAGAGTCAGCCAGGGGAGATTAGAAATGGTTTTGTGTTTTCATTTGCAGGGGTCGCAGTGGGCTCGGCACAGGGGTTGGCCGGGGCAAGGTTAGGCTGTTTAGGCCCCAGACGAGACTTGGGACAGCCTGGGCAGCCGTCAATCCAGGGAACCATTTGTCCCACCTCCCACCCCGCGGGAAACGACGGAGACTTTATGGCCACTCTGTTTGTATTATCTGCATAAGTCTTTCCCCACCAGTTTGATCGAAACTGTTCGCTTTTACGAGGACCCAACGAAAATTCCCCGTCATATTTATCAGCCGGGGATAAAAATTTAGTATGGGAACTGATATTTCCTCATTTATGGGGCGATGAAATTAAAGACCAAAGCAATTGAGAATTATATGGCTTTGGGGGGGTTCCCTCCCCCACTCTTTCACATCTCCTTTATTTTCCCGCCTGGTGTGCCTGTCCGTGGAGTTTGGTGTTGCAGTCCCTTGCCCTTGCCCCCCATTTGGGGGTCTGCTGGGCCCTCTCCTCCACACCCAGGTACCGCTTGGTCAACCCTAACTTTTCCTGGCTTTTCTGTCGGTGTTAGCAGCTCGGGGCTGGGATAGGGCTCCTTGAGCCTCTGCCCAGCCAGGCTGGGATCTGGCTGGGGTGGTGGAAGGTTGCCAAGAGGTTCACAGGGGAAGGATCTGAGCCCAGGCTGGGAGGGGGCGAGGGTGGTGGCGGAGGGTGAAGAAGACAAACTCCAGATTACCTCTCAAAAAACAGCAAGCCCCAAGACTTAAGCTGGGGAACCAACGGGAGAGGAACAGAGTCACTCCGCCTCAGGACCTGTCTCTCCCTACCAGCGACCTCCATCCCAAACTCACTCCTTACCTCAGCCCCAGGAGGGGTTGGAGCTGCTTCAGAATTCTTGCCATTATTAATGGAAATAATCCCCCCGGGGGAAAAGGAGCCTCCCGCCTCAGCTCTAACCTCCTCACAAGAACGGATAGTGTTTAAAGTTGAAATAATTAGAAGTATGATAAACATGGCCCATTAATGAAAAAAGAAATCAAATTCATCAGCCTAAGTGGGACCCCCGGTGGGACAAATGTTTGCCCTTAATTACGCAGGATAAACGCAAACCCGGAGCTGTTAAACAAGACCCCAAGCGCGGACGCAGACTCGAATAACTTGTTGGGTTTTTGCAGACTTTGGGATTCTGCCCCAGTGGAGGAGAAAGAGAGGAAGATGTGAGGGTGAGGACGAGGCAAGGGGAGCATTTGAGCGGGTCCAGGAAAGTACGGTCGGATGTGTGTTCCAGCCCTGCCCCCTTGGGCTCGGTCTTTCCCGAGGCCACGAGCAAAGGCCGTTTCAGTCCTATTGTCCGGGCCTGGCGTTCAAAGGCACTCGGGCTGCCACGGCCATCCCGCCTGCTGCCGCTGCCAGGCACCCACAGGTCCTGCCCCACAGAGCCAAGACCCTCAGGCCTGCACCCCTGGGGAACTGGATTGGGGTCAAGAGAAATCTGTGTGGCTACGCTCAGCCAGTTAAACCATTTCCCCAACTTTCTGGGAGTGCTGAGAGACTTCAGGGCTCTCCCTTGCCTCAACTCGGGGCTGTGAAAATCCAGGGGTGGCAGGCCAGAGCAGGGCTCAGGCTGCACGTACATCTTGACCAATCCCACCCACCCCGAGAGCCCTCTCACTCTGGTCGCTTCTTCCTGGTACCCTGAACCTGGAAGGGCAGCAGGGACGGGGCACTGAGCCTCCTGCTGCCTGTGGGACTGTGAGCCAGGGAGCGGAGGAGGGTGCCCCTTGCTCGCTCCTAGCATATTCCAGGAAGACCTGTGGTTCCAGAGGGCAGGCCGAGGGCTGGGGCACTAGGGGTCCCCCTGTGAAAACAGAAGAAGGAAAATGTAGTGCTCAACGAACATAAAGGAACCGGGCTGTTTCCCTGGCGCCAGCCCTCAACGTGCCCCAGAAACACCCCGATTTTTCCAAGGAAAATGAGGAGAGTTTCCCCAACAGTTTAAGGAAATCATCTGGGAAATTTCAAAGGTGGATTGAAAAAAGGAAGAGCATCTCTCCCTTTGGGGTAAAATAATAAAATAAAATAGTAGTAAAGTTGGTGTATTGAAATCTCTCCAAGTGAAATGGCAAACAAAATCACACCAGGGAGTAAAGTTACAGGCATTTTTCCTCTTGTTTTGGAGACCCAGATAAATCATTCTCATCCCAAAACTTGAAGGAAAATTTTGCTTTTCTCCTTCACAAACACAGGGCTCTGCCCAGGCTGAGTTGGGAACATTGAACTACCAGGCAAACTGCAGAATGCTCAGAAGCCCAAGACAGAGATTTTCAAAGAGATACAAGAGAGACATAGGAGACCCAAGACCCTTGGAGGTGCCTCTGGTCTACTCGGGATCTCGAAACCACCCTGGCAGCCCGGCCATCAGAGTCCCTCTCACATCTGGACACGATCGCACCCAGATGCTACAGAATTTACCATTTACGAATTTGTCTAACTTGTGCTCCATTGTGCGCACATGGCAACAAATATTCACCTCTACCTAAGAGTCGTGCTCCCCAGGATCCCCGCATCCTGAAGTCCGATAAACCTGAGCCAACACAACGGCCTTTTTGCCCTACCGAAGGCGGCCAGTTATTTAACTTTGCCTCCTGAATCGAAACCAGACAGCAAACACTTCGGAAAGAAGCTTTGAGAGAAGGAAACAGATGGGATGATGTCTTGGTGGGGGGAAATCTGGCCCCCCACTTCAGGGATTTGCTCCCAAGTTGCCCCAGTAGATTGGGTTTCCAGTGGGGAGTCAGGGCTGTGGTTGGGCCGACTGGCTCCGGAGAAGGAAACCCCCCCTCCTCCCTTACCGGCTAAATTCCTTTCCAAAGATCCATTTTGCATCTTTTTTTCCTCTTTCTCTCTCTGTTTCTTCCTTTCTTCCTGCTTTCCTTCTTTTCTTTTTCTTCTTCCTCCTTTCTCTTTGTTTCTTTCTCTTTCTCTTTCCTTCTCTTTTTTCCTGCAGTTCATTTTTCCCTTCATTTTTTCCTGACCTTTTCTCTTTCTTAATTCATTGTTTTCTTTATTTCCTTCTTCCTTTTTTCTTTAGGACACAATTTATTCTTTGCTCTTTTCTTTCCTCTTCAGTGCTTTCCTTCCCCCTTGACTTTCGGTCTCCCCAGCCTTTCTTGTTTTTCTCTCTGATGCATAGCTCAGGGAGGAGAAAGCCGCAGGCTCGGGTGCGTCTTTTCCCAGCCTTACTACTCAGGCTTGGAGTTGACCTTCTCCGGCCTTCAGCCTTAATAACTCGGCTCCTCACAAGGCGAAGTGTACAGCTGCCAGCGGCCAGCGGCCAGGCCTCAGCAGTCGCCATTAGAGGGAAGGAAAAGCTGGCGCGGGGGCACATTCTTACTGGCCCTGATGGTTCCCTGACATGCCTGGTCCCAGGGCTCAGGTACCTTTGGTCCCATTGCCTCCAAGACGCCTCTTTGGAGAAGTCGCTCCATCTTTGTCCTGTCGTCCAGAGCTGAACATTAAAATAGCCTCAGTTTGAGCTGAACTGGAATCCCCAAGGCTGGAGTCAGGGGAAATGAAGGAGTGGGGCTCTGTCAGTCCCAGATGGGGGTCAAGATCCGAGGGGCCACCCGTGGGCTTAGCAACCCAAAGCCATGTCCCCACATGGGCACCTTTGTTCTCTGAGCTTCCGGACTGCAGCCCGCCGGCCCTCCTCTGTCAGTCTTGCAATCTCTGGAACCTCTGGGCAGGAATTCCTCGGTGTTTTGAATTCCATCTTTCTTCTGACCCACTGGAGACTTTGCAAGAAACAGAGATGCAAGGCCGTGTGTGTAACTCTCCTAAATCCGCAGTCTGAGTCAAGGTTATGGGTTTCCACTTTGTGTAGTGGGTTGAGGGAGTGTTTGGTGTGTGTGTGTGTGTGTGTGTTGTGTGTAGAGACAGAGACAGAGAGACAGAGAGAATGATGCCTGCAGGAGAACAGAGGGAATGAAGGGAAAGGTCTGGCCCTGCTGACATTGCCCAGCTTTGGGAGTCTGCAAGGGCCTGCGTCCAGAGCGGAGCAGCCAGCACTGTCTTGCAGGCCTGTAGTGGCTGTGAGCCGCTAGCCCCCAAAGCTCGGTCTAAGTTGGGCCTCAGGCAAAGACTGGCGACAGTCTTCAGCCTTGTTCTGCCATAGGCAGACGGAGTCAGCTTCAGACGCCCCCACTTCCCCCACTGGGGCCCCAGAACCTCTCTCCCCACAACCTCCTAAAGATCCTGAGGTTTCATTCCGTGAAAAGACCAAAACTTAAAGTTTTTAAAAAGGGGAGGAGGAATCTTGTAAAACTTTTATGCCAAACAAAGTTATAAAAACTTCCCGGGCGTTGCCTTTTCCAAAGGTTTATACGAATAATAAAGAGTGTAGTCGCGTGCACACGGTTCTGGCGGGCTCCGAGCAGAGAAGGTTCAGCAAACAGTGTTATCCAGCCCTGGGGCACCAGGAAACCCCAGGGACAGCCCCCTTGAAGGAATAGTGGCCCAGAAACGAATTGTCCAACAGATTCCTGAGAGGGGGGCGGGGAAAGGGAAGGGGTGGCGCCCTTGACTTCTTGAAGTTCAAAGTTCTTCTTTGCTTTGGTGAGAAAATCCCCCTCTGCCTTCAGCGCACTCAAGAAATTAGCCCCAGCTAGTTTTTCTCCCTCTGGTTGAGAAGGGGCTCTAGGTATCCCCATGTCTGTGCACCTTTCAGACACCTGGTCTGTCACTTTCTTGCTTTCTCAAAGCAGAGCTGCCCATCCTCTCCATCTGGGACGTCTGAAACCTGTGGGCTTGCTTTCAGAGGTGCCTGTGTGAGCTGTCTTCTAAGGGGCCCTTGCATCCCCGTTCCTCAGCAACACAGGGGTCTGAGGGACAAAGAAACCCCAACACAAGGCTGGCCCCAAGCCATTTCTCCTTTCAAGTCCCCAAGGTTCTCTCTGTACCCCTAAAGCCCATAGCGAGAGGGGGAGGGGCCCAGAGTGCTCTCTCTCAGCCCACACCACTTAATACCCTTGTAAACTCCCACGTGCGCTATAAACTTGGATTTTTACAACCAACATTCCTCCTTAGCTCCAAGAAACTTTGAACTCGGCCTCGGGTTTATTTACTGGGGGGGGGGGATAAGAGGGGGTTGGGGAGCTGGGAGCTGAGAAAAGCTGGAGGAGAAGAGGGGGAAGATGCGGGGCAAGAGGGTAATGGCGTGGGGGTCTGGGGTGTATTGGGGGAGCCAAGACCATCCGCTGTGGGTTTGTTTACTATTTAGAGCGGAAGCATTTTCTAACACAGGCCAGACTGGGTCATTAAGGGCGAAATGAAACTGGGTTTAGAGGCACGGGGGGGTGCTTTATGGCGGCGTCTAGA